CACACCCACACACACACACCCACACACACGCTCTATCGCACAATATTAATAACAAAAGGGTCAGAATAAACATAGATTCAGGAAAATGACAGCCAGGACTCTGACTACGCATGGTCAACTATCATTCCAGTCATCGCCCACCATCGAAGGCAGTACAGCTTTACTCAGAGGTATCTCTTACTGCCTCCACTTCAGGATCCAGTTACCATTGTTTTCCTGACTGCCCTAGGAATCACTCACCAGAGGCTTCCTACAGCAGGAGACATGCTAGGCAAGTGCTGTGCTGTCCTGAGAAGGCTCAGCACTCCCCCACAGTGCCCTGCCCCCATGCAAGACTCAGCCCCTGGCCCTGCACTGTCAACTCAAACCTACACAGAGAACTCCAGGCTGCAGCCTTGACTGGCACAGCACTGGACCCGGCCAAGAGAAGCAGAATAAAGTGTAACTTATAGCCAAAATCTCTGAGCCAGCATTCCACCAGCCACTGCTTCCAGAGCCACTGGGGAAAGGACAACAAACTAGAGAAGATTAGGGAGAGAGCAAGAATCCTCCCTCAGGAGAAACCATTTGGTGGCCTAACAGTAGCTCCTGGTGACCCAGTCACAAATCCTTTCACCAAAGCACATACCTCATCGTCCGCTGTGTTCCCACAGGAGCAGATAGAAAAGTTCTCCTGAGCCCCAGCCTCAGGAGGCAGGGCTCAGAGGAAGGGAAGGTGCAGTGTTCCAGCTCCTGTCAAAAGAATAAACAGCTGTTTCAGGAAGGGGGGAGGGTGGGTGGGCAGTCAGATCCCTCAGCAGCAGCCACAGGCTTTGTTTCCTCAGCCCCAGGAAATGGGCTGTTGACTCAGACCTACATGCCAAGGCAGAATTGGTGCTCTGGGCCGTCCTCTGACTCTCTCGCCAAGAGAAAACTACAGGACCAAACCAGGCCAGAAGTCACAGGAGAGGAGGTCACCACCCTCCACCTCACCCACTCCCAGGGAAAACTGTGAGCCATGTAGGATGCAAACAACCTCAAGTTACACCTCCCAGGAAAAAGCCTGTGAAGCCTGTGAAGAAGTGATTCCTAGGCCAAGAGCAGAGAGAGGCAAGCAGATAAGGCAGTTTGATGAGATGCCTAATGTAGTTCTGAGAAGGCTTTTCCTCCACAGCCTGGCTCCGGAAGCTGCACTGTCTTGTGGAAAACAGTGTGAATCTCCATATAGAAGCCCTCACTATATGAACTTGGAAAGGCCATGGAGGCCACACCTGCTCCTGAAGGGACAGAAGCGACTTAAGGAGGGGATTTCTGTCTAGGGCTTTTTCCTTTTTCTTTATTTTCCCCCTTTTTTTAAGACATGGTCTCAAGTCTCCCATGAAATCACTGTGTAGCCAAGGATAGGACTTCTTGACCTCGCCTGCCTGTCAACAGTACTAGGGCAATAAGTGTACCCCACATCCAGTCACATAATGTGAGGGACGGAGCCCAGGGCTGCGTGCACACTGGGCAAGTCCCTATCATCGGCTGAGCTTTTCCATAGGGCCATTGTTCCCAGAAGTAGCACTGCATATGCCGCCACACACTGGCACAAGCAGGGCGTGACACGAAAGGCCCCTGCCTCATTCCCTCTTCAAGTGGCTGGGACACTGCCGGGAAGTCTGGGAACCCTAGACGATGGGAAGGGACCAATGCCAGACAGGAAGGAGTCAAGGCCCGGCCCCAGGTCACTCAGCTTCTTCCTCTTGTTCTCTAAAGGAAGTGTCAGAGCTTCCTCTTCTGAGGGCAGAAGCCAGCTGACCACCACCTTCAGGGACTGGAAGTTCTTCCTAACAGCTGGCTTTACTCCTTCTGATGATATCCATTTGACCCCCAGTAACCCAGGCCTGTGACAGACATTCTGCTCTCAAGTCTACTCCCAGAAGATGAGCATCAGAACATAGCATACCCCATACTGGACTCCAAGGCCCATCAGGAACACTAAGTTGCCACCAAGTGCCACATGGCTTCCTATATGTAACAACGAGAACCAGCAGGCTGCATCCATGTCACATCAACAGAAGCAACTCAACACTCAGTACCAAGTGAAAGGAACTGACCCAAAGGGATGCACCCTAGGTCATGGCATGGTGGTACTCGCCCATGACCCAGCTCTTGGGAGGGTGGGTCAGGAGGGGCAGGGTTCCAAGGCCAGTCTTGGCTACATAGTGAGTTTGAGGCCTGTAAGCATGACAGCTTGGCTGGAAAGGTATCCTGGCAGCCAGGAGCCAAGGGATAACACAAAGTCATACTGCACAATAAACCTCACACCAAAGATTTATTGGGAGGGAAAAAACCAGGAGGGTGGCTGCTTGGGGTGAGAAACAACAGCAAACTGAACAGGATACAGAGCTTAAATAGAGTTTTCTTGGGAAGAGGGTGGAACTTTCCAGGGTGCAGATTAGTGGGATTTCATGTCCAGAGATTGGGCTTTTACTCTGTAGAGTGGGGGCAGGGTCCAGAAGTTAGGCCAGTTAGATTATTCTGTGGGTGGAACCTGGTAGTTAGAGATCCTCGAGGGAGGGGCCTGGCCAAACATTACATACAACTGGCCACTGCTGTAACTTGGGGGGCCAGTTGGGCTACATGAAACCTTGTCTCAAAAAGCAGAGAGAGTAGCACTCAGAAGGCAGAGGCAAGAGGATCTCTGTGAATTCAAGGCCAGCCTGGTCTATAGAGTGAGTTCCAGGACAGGCTCCAAAGATACACAGAGAAACCCTGTCTCAGAAAGACAAACAACAACAACAAAAAGTGGAGCGACATAAGTAGGGCCAGGGCATGAGCTGTATGCTTCCACTTAAAATTCTATGCAAGTAAAATTAACCTATGTTGTTAGAAGTGGGGATGCTGGGCTCCCTAGGGGTGGTAAGTTCTGGTTACACAGACCTGTCCACTTGATGAAGACACACAATGGGCCTCATAACAGGCTTTTTCCATGAGTATGTTAAGGATGGAAAATTCCAGAGAGCTCCCTGGTGGAAGCAGTGTGCTCTCTCTGGCACCAGTCCCCTCCTGGCCCCTGAGCCTCCCTCCCCCTCCCCCCACCATGGGTAGGCCCTGCCTCTTCCTTCTCCTGGATTCCTCATGCAGACTGAGCCCCTTTGGAGGATGCAGCTATGGTCTGCTATGGGATCAAGGGCACTGGAGGAGGAAGAGGCAGCAGGGTGGAGTCGAAGAGCTAAAATAAGCATGGCCTCTTTAAATGTTTGCAACATTGGGGATGGAATTGTAACAGAGCTTTGTGCATACTGGTGGAGCTCCTTTCCAACTGAGCCATACCCAAGCTCCTCATGGAGCTCCCTGAGCATCGGAACTCCCCCACACTCCACGACGTTGCAAGCAGCCTTTACCTCAGTGAATCCTCACTACCACCCTGAAAAATGTTCTCCACCATTTTCACAGATGGAGGGAGAAGTTCTGAGGGTCAGGGTATTCAGCTGAGAGACTTCCCTTGACACATCCTTGAACTGCCCTTCCTCCCTGCGGCCTCCAGGGATACTCTCCAGGTCAGCTGGTGTGCTGAGTGTGGCAGGCTGGTGCTGCTGGGAGGGAGGGAGGGATCTGGACATGCCACCCTCCATCCTTGGGTCTGTCCACATTGTTCATCCTGAGAGGCCAGCAGCTGCTACCCAGAGTGGGGAGCTCTGGCTTTGTTCCAATTCACTTCTGGCCGGGAAACATGAGGATTGATTCCCACCCCTCTTACCTCTGTGGGAATGTGGGGATTAAGTGTTCTTGGCAGAGAACACAACTCACACAAGGCTTGCTCACTGTCGTTTGTATAATCCCAAATCTGCCTGGAACAGTCACAAAAGACATGCTTGCTGAGCAAGTTGGTAAGTGTGTGATGGGGATGATCACATCTCAGGGTGGGGGGTGGGGGGAGCTGCCCCATGGGTCACACTATCCTGGGGGACTTGACACCTCTGTGCTTGTATTGCTATGTCTGTGAAATGGGAATGGTAACATGGGTGGAAGCTGGCACCTAGTGAGGGCCACAGATACAAACCATCACGACCAGATCCGGCTTGTCCTCCTGAAGGACACAGCTTTGCCTCAGCTCTGTCAGATGACCCTGAAGCTTGCAGTTCCACATGGCTGCCACACACTTTGTTTTACATTGTGTAAGGAATGTGCATGTTGACCTTAGCAGTCTTGGAAAGAGAGTTCTAAGGTGATGCTTCCATGGCTGTTAGAACTGCTGCCAACCTGAGTGTACTGGGTAGTTTTTGTCAACTTGACACAGACTGAAGTCTCCAGGAGGAAGGAGCCTCCATTAAGAAATTGCTTCCACTAGCCTGGTTTGAAGGCTTGTCTTGACTGCTAATCAATGTGGGAGGGCCCAGCCCACTGTGGGCAGGGCCATCACGGGCATGTGTGCCTGAATGTGTAAAAGGTAGCAGAGCAAGCCAGGGACAGCACTCCTCCACGCTCTCTACTCCAGTTCCTACCTCCAGGTTCCAGCCCTGACTTCCCTTCATGATGGACTACAAGCTATAAGGTGAAACAAACCCTTTTCTCCCAGATTGCTGTTGGTCATGGCTTTTACCACAGCAACACCTCTGAAATGATGGCGGTGGTAGCCACAGAAAGTACTGTGCTCAAGAGAATTTGCTCCCATGAGCCTCTCTCCCAGAGAGGGTACTCAGCCCTCACTGAGAAAATGGAATAATTGTCCCCCCCCCCAGTTTTTAAAATTTGCATTTATTTGTTAATTTTTGTGTATTTATTGGGGAAGGGGTGCATACGCCACAACGCACATGATTAAAGAACAACTTTTGAGACTCTGTTCTCTCCATCTACTGTGTGAGTCAGGGATCAAATTCTGGTCATCAGGCACGTTCACCCACTGAGCCATTTCACTGGCCCACTGCTGAGTCCTCCCCAGCAATGCATAGTCACAGATAATGCACACCGCCTGTCCTGTCTAGCTCCAAGACAGTCCTTCCACTGTGGCCTACGGTTATCTAATCTTTCCTGCTGTTCATGAAGGAGGGGGCCAGTCATGCTGTGTTCACAGGGAAGGACTGGCAGGTCTGTCCTAGCTCTGACTTCTTGCCACTCAGCAACCTGTGTGTCTGTAGTGTGCTGCTCAGTTCCTCCTTCAACTCTTCCAAATGCAAAGGTAAGCCAGCTTTTCTCTAGGAACTGCATCTGTGATGCAGCCCTCGGGGTTCTGGCACCTGGAGCATACAACTAGGCTCCAGCTGACAGCTCTAGGCTTTGGAACTGTTGGTTCCTTTGGAGCTAGAAGACATGGTATAGCCCGGAAGCCCGCCAGGAGAGCTGCTTAGTTAGCAATGATGGGAAGACAGCAGCCACCCAGGCACACAGGAGCACAGAACAGCAGCAGGAGCAGTTTTTCTGGGCTCTCTTTATCTCATCAGAGGCACAACTACCAAGAGTCAGAAGCACCAGGAGAGTGGACGATTTCCAGTCTGACCTCTGCCTGTTTCTTAGTCTCGAAGGGCAGTTCCTATACCTCGGCCTTGCTGTCTGGGTGCCAGCAGCATGGCCTTCTAGATGACCTAAAAGAAATAAGCCACACTCACCTTTCCTGCTTTTTCTTCTTTTTTTCCCTGCTTTTTCTTTCTTTTCTTCCCTCAGGCTTTTTATGCCAGGGGGTAACCTGCCACTCCTCAGGCTTCCACTAATCTTCTCTCCCAACAGCTGCTTTGATCCTTCTAGGGAAAGGGAACTTGCCAGCCAGTTGC